ACATTAATATCCATAGACACTCTATTTATACTCTGTATACATTAATATCCATAGACTCTCTATTTATACTCTGTGTGTACATTAAATATCCATAGACTCTCTATTTATACTCTGTATACATTAATATCCATAGACTCTCTATTTATACTCTCTGTGTACATTAATATCCATAGACTCTCTATTTTATACTCTCTGTATACATTAATATCCATAGACTCTCTATTTATACTCTCTGTGTACATTAATATCCATAGACTCTCTATTTATACTCTGTGTGTACATTAATATCCATAGACTCTCTATTTATACTCTGTATACATTAATATCCATAGACTCTCTATTTATATACTCTCTGTGTATACATTAATATCCATAGACTCTCTATTTATACTCTCTGTATACATTAATATCCATAGACTCTCTATTTATACTCTCTGTGTACATTAATATCCATAGACTCTCTATTTATACTCTGTGTACATTAATATCTGAGTTTTCTTTTATTTTAAGGTACACAGTACTTACTGGATTTATACGGCGAGTTTTAAATTGGAAGAAAAGTTTTGTGGACTTTAATTTTTGGGGGTTTTTTTTCAGGCAAAAATTGTATGGACACTAAGAAGGTTTATTTTTTATCCATATAACCAAAAAAATAAAAAACAAAACCAGTGGTGATCAATTACCACCAAAAGAAATCTGTATTTGTGTGAAAAAAATAATCTAAGATAAATTTTCATTTGTACACAGTGTTGCATGAGCGAGCAATTGTCAGGTAAAATGGCTGGTCATGAAGGTGGTAAAAACCTTCTGGAGGTCAATTGGTTAAAATCGAAACATATAGAAAATGGACAAAACACATAATAACCTCTATACATACAAAAAACACGTTTTCCATCAACTTAGTCATGAGGTTTGATATAAACGGCCATGTGTGACTTATACCGATGTCTAATAGGGGGGAGGGGCACTACAGGCGCCAATGAAAAAAAAAGAAATCAATTCTTAAGTGGTTACGTTGATCGTTATAATGGAAATATTCAAAGATTGTGTTACTCGGTGTGCTCCGTGCTTTAGACGTCGGCATTGGAATAAACTTCACCACATTTATGCAAAGTCAGTCATGAGACGGATCTCTGAAGACTATTTCCATAATTCCAACCTCCAATATATCATTCTGTCAGCTATCACTGGACGTGTCCCGTCATCTCTGTCCGGAGCTCACACCAAACCTGGACATGTTGTCCCCAGAATTATCTATTGTAATCTCTTCAGTCTTGGGACTCATCTTGGGAATACCTTCTAACACTTGTATTGTGATGGGGAACCTGGACAGCATCAGGAAGAAGGAGAAGTTGAGTCCCACCGATGTGATCTTTCTGGCTAAGGGAATGGTGAATATTGTCCTCCAGTGTTTGATGAGTCTACATGGAATGCTCTATGTCTTGAGTCCGGAGTTATTTTATGTTAGAGAAGTAAATGCATTTATGAACTCATCAATTTACTTCCTGACATATTACAACTTCTGGTTGACCTTCTGGCTCTCGGCTCATTACTGTACCAGCATCACCAATCTCAGCTATGGGTTCTTCATCTGGTTCAAGAGAATTGTGTCCAATTTCCTGAGTCAACTTCTATTCCTGACAGCACTTGTAATATTCATTATGAATGTCTCGGCCATCTGGACTTTGTATGTAGGAAGTATCCCGTCTTCTGAGAACAGGACAGAAGCTTCTGGTAACAGATTCCATGAAACTGTTTCCTATTTTGTGTCTGCAAACACCCTATGTGTCGTTCTTCCATGCTGCCTTAGTCTTCTGTGCCTGGTCCTCACTTCCTCCTTTCTGCTCAGACACGTCTGGAGGGTGAAGAATAACGACTCTGGATCAACACGTCCAAATCTTCAGGCTCATGTCACGGCACTGAGGACAATCTTCTTCTTACTTCTCATCTGCACAATCTTCTGCATGACATTTTCTGTGGACATTGTTCTTCAAATTTCCTCACTGTTTATAGTCTGTTGGGATTTACAATTATTATCTCTAGAGATGAGCGAAGTATTCAAAAATTCGATTCGACTGATTCGGCGAATTCGTGGACAATATTCGATTCGAATATATTCGAATATATTCGCTGTGAATTTAACTTAAAAAAGGGTGTTTCTAGGCTTCAGAGAGACTTAATATTAGTGCAGAACACTGTACCTTTAATTTAAATGCCTTGAGTCTGCTGGGGAAGAGAAATAATAATACTGTCACTCAGTATGACATGCAGATGAGTGCCGTCGATCTTAGAAATCACTGCACACTTCACTCATTTGGCCAGTCACGGGGCCAAAAACCAGTGTTTGGAGCACAGTGTGGGAGCCACAGTGTGCGGTGGAGGCAGCAGCAATGGGAGGCCATACAGCAACCTATGACAAAATGGAAACCAGCAGGAGTGTGAGGAGACCTCAAAGTGGCACATGGCAGAGTGGGAGCAATGGGAGGCGGTACAGGGACCCAGGTCACACTGTGGGACCAAGCAGCAGCGTGACCAGGCGGTACGGGGGCCCATGGCAGATTTGACCTCGTTCATCCCATAGTCCTGCCGACTCACGAATAGCGTGGCCTCCTCAAAGGGCTTGAGCAAGCGCAGGTGTCACGCATGAGCTGCCAATGGCTGACATCTAAGTTACACAGGGAGTACCTTTATCCGCTTTTAACATCAGGAAATCTGTGATGGCCTTTCGCTGTTCGTAAAGGCGGTCTAACATGTGTAGGGTTGAATTCCACCTTGTTGCAAAGTCACAGCATGAGGAGGCGGTATAGGGGCCCATGGCAGATTACGTGCCTGGCAGCAGCAATGGGAGGCCCGTAATCTGCCAGCACCCTATGTCAAAAAATTGAACACACCAGCAGTGTGAGGAGACCTCAAAGTGGCACATGGCAGAGTGGGAGCAATGGGAGGCGGTACAGGGACCCAGGTCACACTGTGGGCTCAGCAGCAGCGTGACCAGGCGGTACGGGGGCCCATGGCCGATTTGGGGCCTGGCGGCACCTATGGGAGGCCTGTAATCTGCCAGCAACCTATGACAAAATGGAAAACCGCAGGAGTGTGAGGAGACCTCAAAGTGGCACATGGCAGAGTGGGAGCAATGGGAGGCGGTACAGGGACCCAGGTCACACTGTGGGACCAGCAGCAGCGTGACCAGGCGGTACGGGGGCCCATGGCCGATTTGGGGCCTGGCGGCACCTATATGGGAGGCCTGTAATCTGCCAGCAACCTATGACAAAATGGAAAACCGCAGGAGTGTGAGGAGACCTCAAAGTGGCACATGGCAGAGTGGGAGCAATGGGAGGCGGTACAGGGACCCAGGTCACACTGTGGGCTCAGCAGCAGCGTGACCAGGCGGTACGGGGGCCCATGGCCGATTTGGGGCCTGGCGGCACCTATGGGAGGCCTGTAATCTGCCAGCAACCTATGACAAAATGGAAAACCGCAGGAGTGTGAGGAGACCTCAAAGTGGCACATGGCAGAGTGGAAGCAATGGGAGGCCGTACAGGGACCCAGGTCACACTGTGGGACCAGCAGCAGCGTGACCAGGCGGTACGGGGGCCCATGGCCGATTTGGGGCCTGGCGGCACCTATGGGAGGCCTGTAATCTGCCAGCAACCTATGACAAAATGGAAAACCGCAGGAGTGTGAGGAGACCTCAAAGTGGCACATGGTAGAGTGGGAGCAATGGGAGGCGGTACAGGGACCCAGGTCACACTGTGGGCTCAGCAGCAGCGTGACCAGGCGGGTACGGGGGCCCATGGCCGATTTGGGGCCTGGCGGCACCTATGGGAGGCCTGTAATCTGCCAGCAACCTATGACAAAATGGAAAACCGCAGGAGTGTGAGGAGACCTCAAAGTGGCACATGGCAGAGTGGGGGAGCAATGGGAGGCCGTACAGGGACCCAGGTCACACTGTGGGACCAGCAGCAGCGTGACCAGGCGGTACGGGGGCCCATGGCGATTTGGGGCCTGGCGGCACCTATGGAAGGCCTGTAATCTGCCAGCAACCTATGACAAAATGGAAAACCCGCAGGAGTGTGAGGAGACCTCAAAGTGGCACATGGCAGAGTGGAAGCAATGGGAGGCCGTACAGGGACCCAGGTCACACTGTGGGACCAGCAGCAGCAGCGTGACCAGGCGGTACGGGGGCCCATGGCCGATTTGGGGCCTGGCGGCACCTATGGAAGGCCTGTAATCTGCCAGCAACCTATGACAAAATGGAAAACCGCAGGAGTGTGAGGAGACCTCAAAGTGGCACATGGCAGAGTGGGAGCAATGGGGGAGGCCGTACAGGGACCCAGGTCACACTGTGGGACCAGCAGCAGCGTGACCAGGCGGTACGGGGGCCCATGGCCGATTTGGGGCCTGGCGGCACCTATGGAAGGCCTGTAATCTGCCAGCAACCTATGACAAAATGGAAAACCGCAGGAGTGTGAGGAGACCTCAAAGTGGCACATGGCAGAGTGGGAGCAATGGGAGGCGGTACAGGGACCCAGGTCACACTGTGGGCTCAGCAGCAGCGTGACCAGGCGGTACGGGGGCCCATGGCCGATTTGGGGCCTGGCGGCACCTATGGGAGGCCTGTAATCTGCCAGCAACCTATGACAAAATGGAAAACCGCAGGAGTGTGAGGAGACCTCTAAAGTGGCACATGGCAGAGTGGAAGCAATGGGAGGCCGTACAGGGACCCAGGTCACACTGTGGGACCAGCAGCAGCGTCACCAGGCGGTACGGGGGCCCATGGCCGATTTGGGGCCTGGCGGCACCTATGGGAGGCCTGTAATCTGCCAGCAACCCTATGACAAAATGGAAAACCGCAGGAGTGTGAGGAGACCTCAAAGTGGCACATGGCAGAGTGGGAGCAATGGGAGGCGGTACAGGGGGACCCAGGTCACACTGTGGTGGACTGTCAGCAGCAGCTCAGCAGCAGCGTGACCAGGCGGTACGGGGGCCCATGGCCGATTTGGGGCCTGGCGGCACCTATGGGAGGCCTGTAATCTGCCAGCAACCTATGACAAAAAATGGAAAACCGCAGGAGTGTGAGGAGACCTCAAAGTGGCACATGGCAGAGTGGAAGCAATGGGAGGCCGTACAGGGACCCAGGTCACACACTGTGGGACCAGCAGCAGCGTGACAGGCGGTACGGGGGGCCCATGGCCGATTTGGGGCCTGGCGGCACCTATGGAAGGCCTGTAATCTGCCAGCAACCTATGACAAAATGGAAAACCGCAGGAGTGTGAGGAGACCTCAAAGTGGCAAATGGTAGAGTGGGAGCAATGGGAGGCGGTACAGGGACCCAGGTCACACTGTGGGCTCAGCAGCAGCAGCAGCGTGACCAGGCGGTACGGGGGCCCATGGCCGATTTGGGGCCTGGCGGCACCTATGGAAGGCCTGTAATCTGCCAGCAACCTATGACAAAAATGGAAAACCGCAGGAGTGTGAGGAGACCTCAAAGTGGCACATGGCAGAGTGGAAGCAATGGGAGGCCGTACAGGGACCCAGGTCACACTGTGGGACCAGCAGCAGCGTGACCAGGCGGTTTACGGGGGCCCATGGCCGATTTGGGGCCTGGCGGCACCTATGAAAGGCCTGTAATCTGCCAGCAACCTATGACAAAATGGAAAACCGCAGGAGTGTGAGGAGACCTCAAAGTGGCACATGGCAGAGTGTGGAGCAATGGGAGGCCGTACAGGGACCCAGGTCACACTGTGGGACCAGCAGCAGCGTGACCAGGCGGTACGGGGGCCCATGGCCGATTTGGGGCCTGGCGGCACCTATGGAAGGCCTGTAATCTGACAGCAACCTATGACAAAAAAATGGAAAACCGCAGGAGTGTGAGGAGACCTCAAAGTGGCACATGGCAGAGTGGGAGCAATGGGAGGCGGTACAGGGACCCAGGTCACACTGTGGGGCTCAGCAGCAGCGTGACCAGGCGGTACGGGGGCCCATGGCCATTTGGGGCCTGGCGGCACCTATGGGAGGGCCTGTAATCTGCCAGCAACCTATGACAAAATGGAAAACCGCAGGAGTGTGAGGAGACCTCAAAGTGGCACATGGCAGAGTGGAAGCAATGGGAGGCCGTACAGGGACCCAGGTCACACTGTGGGACCAGCAGCAGCAGCGTGACCAGGCGGTACGGGGGCCCATGGCCGATTTGGGGCCTGGCGGCACCTATGGGAGGCCTGTAATCTGCCAGCAACCTATGACAAAATGGAAAACCGCAGGAGTGTGAGGAGACCTCAAAGTGGCACATGGCAGAGTGGAGCAATGGGAGGCCGTACAGGGACCCAGGTCACACTGTGGGGACCAGCAGCAGCGTCACCAGGCGGTACGGGGGCCCATGGCCGATTTGGGGCCTGGCGGCACCTATGGAAGGCCTGTAATCTGCCAGCAACCTATGACAAAATGGAAAACCGCAGGAGTGTGAGGAGACCTCAAAGTGGCACATGGTAGAGTGGGAGCAATGGGAGGGCGGTACAGGGACCCAGGTCACACTGTGGCTCAGCAGCAGCGTGACCAGGCGGTACGGGGGCCCATGGCCGATTTGGGGGCCTGGCAGGCACCTATGGGAGGCCTGTAATCTGCCAGCAACCTATGACAAAAAATGGAAAACCGCAGGAGTGTGAGGAGACCTCAAAGTGGCACATGGCAGAGTGGGAGCAATGGGAGGCCGTACAGGGACCCAGGTCACACTGTGGGCTCAGCAGCAGCGTGGACCAGGCGGTACGGGGGCCCATGGCCGATTTGGGGCCTGGCGGCACCCTATGGAGGCCCGTAATCTGCCAGCACCCTATGACAAAATGGAACCCTGGGCTGGGGTGCAGGCAGAACCTCCGTATCTTTATCACGGTTTTCCCAGGCCACCGAATGGCGACGCTGCATATGCTGAGCAACGCTGTAGTCCCAACATGGGCCCCCTGGCCACGTTTGACTTTCTGGCCACATAGTCGACATACGGCTACGTTTACTTCCTCGGGAGGCTCTTGACGAAAAATTGCCACACCGCCAGAGTAGGGGCCTGGTGACACTTTGCCCCCGCTACTCCTCACTGGCTGACTGCTACTTCCTTCGTGCACACCGGCACCACTACTGGCAGTGGTGGTAGGCTGCAGTGGAGCTGGTGCACTACTCCGTGGCCGTTTGCCTCCACTGACACTGCTGAGGAGACTGCTGCCATGGCAGAGTGTGGCTGGCAGCAGCAATGGGAGGCCGTACAGGGACCCATGAGAGACTCTCTGGACTTGGCAGCAGCATGAGGAGGCGGTATATAGGGGCCCCATGGCAGATTAGGGGCCTGGCAGCAGCTATGGAGGCCCGTAATCTGCCAGCACCCTATGTCAAAAAATTCAACACACCAGCAGTGTGAAGAGACCTGAATGTGGGCACATGGCAGAGTGTGGCGATGGAGACAGCAGCAATGGGAGGCCGTACAGGGACCCATGAGAGACTCTGGACTTGGCAGCAGCATGAGGAGGCGGTATATAGGGGCCCATGGCAGATTAGGGGCCTGGCAGCAAGGCCCGTAATCTGCCAGCACCCTATGTCAAAAAATTGAACACAACAGCAGTGTGTGAGGAGACCTGAAAGTGGCACATGGCAGAGTGTGGCGATGGAGACAGCAGCAATGGGAGGCCGTACAGGGACCCATGAGAGACTCTGGACTTGCAGCAGCATGAGGAGGCGGTATAGGGGCCCATGGCAGATTAGGGGCCTGGCAGCAGCTATGGGAGGCCCGTAATCTGCCAGCACCCTATGTCAAAAAATTGAACACACCAGCAGTGTGTGAGGAGACCTGAAAGTGGCACAGTGGCAGAGTGTGGCGATTGGAGACAGCAGCAATGGGAGGCCGTACAAGGGACCCATGAGAGACTCTGGACTTGGCCAGCAGCATGAGGAGGCGGTATATAGGGGCCCATGGCAGATTAGGGGCCTGGCAGCAGCAACTGGGAGACGCCCGTAATCTGCCAGCACCCTATGTCAAAAAATTGAACACAACAGCATGTGTGAGGCGACCTGAAAGTGGCACATGGCAGAGTGTGACGATGAGACAGCAGCAATGGAGACATGTCAAGGGACCCATGAGAGACTCTGGACTTGGCAGCAGCATGAAGGAGGCAGTATATAGGGGCCCATGGCAGATTAGGGGCCTGGCAGCAGCTATGGGAGGCCCGTAATCTGCCAGCACCCTATGTCAAAAAATTCAACACACCAGCAGTGTGAGGAGACCGGAAAGTGGCACATGGCATGAGAGACTGTGGGACCTGGCAGCAGCAAGAGGAGGCGGTACAGGGGCCCATGGCAGATTAGGGGCCTGGCAGCAGCTATGGGTAGGCCCGTAATCTGCCCAGCACCCTATGTCAAAAAATTCAACACCACAGCAGTGTGAAGAGACCTTGAATGTGGCACATGGCAGAGTGTGGCGATGGAGACAGCAGCAATGGGAGGCCCGTAATCTGCCAGCACCCTATGACAAAAAATGGAACACACCAGCAGTGTGTGAGGAGACCTGAAAGTGGCACATGTTTGTGGCATGATTCATGCGGATTTAGTCCGTTGTGTCAGGAACTGGTGGTTTGAAATCCAGACTAATCCACGCCTGATTCATTTTCACAAACGTGAGTCTCTCCACACTTTGGGTGGACAGTCGTGTCCTCCGCAGAGTTTACAATACCTCCTGCCGCACTAAACACCGCTCCGATGCCACGCTACTGGCCGGGCATGACAAGCCTTTCAAGGGCAAATTCAGCTAGTTGGGGCCAAAGGTCAAGTTTTCGTTGCCCAGTAGTCAAAGGGGGATTGTCTACCTCGTTGGCAGGGTGCTGTCCAAGTAGGGCCCAAGCCTGTTTGTTTGAGCTCCTGCTCCAGGTCCACCTGATGCTGCTGCTGCGGCTGGTTAGTAGTTTCCTCACTGCGCTGGTGAAGAAAACTACTCCTCATCGACTTGCAGACTGA